CCACCCAGGCACCCTAAACATGCTTTTAAATATATATATTTAGATATTAAAATGTCTATAACTCTGCAAGGTGACAGATTATTTTGTTTGAATGATGTAGAATGATGGAACTAACACGCGCTACTCCTTAGCTGTTGTAGCAAAAAAGAAAGAAAGAAAAGAATAACGATGTCTCTGCCTACAACCTTCTGAACCATAACCCTGGCAGATTGGGTACTTCAGTAAAAGTGGAATTAAACTATTTTTGCTGAAATTAACCTTGATTGGATAGTCCTGTTATACTCACACCAGAGATTTTGAATCCTCCGTAGGTCTAACGTATGCAATTTTAGCAGCTCGAGGATTCTGATGTTCATAGCAGCCACTCTGCAGTCTTTGCTGAGAACCTATTACGTGTTGAGCCAGATAGTAGGAGCTGGAAATAAAGTGGAAGCACGACAGATGTGTCTCTGTCTCATCAGAACATACAGGCGTGCAGGTGGGGGCGCAGACATTAAACAGATCGTTGTAGTGATCGAAGTATAACCACAGGCCTATGTTTTAATGATTCTGTGAGGCAGTGGAACCTCACCTGGCCTGGGGGGTTTGAAGACTTCCTACTTGAGGCGACACATACAGGACAAGGAAGAGGGAAGCCAGGTGGAGAGGGCGGAGGCGGGGAAGAAGGTTGTCCTGCAGGTAAAGGGAACAGCAGGTCTGAGTCAGGGAACTCTTCCAGGCCAGACTCTGAAGGATGGAGAGTCTGTGTGATTTGAAGTGAGCCCAGAGAGCCGGATTCTGCAGGTGCCTTGGGTCAGAGGAGGATAATGGTCTTCATTCAATGACTTAGGTAAAGCCTGTAGGGGGGTTCTTGGCATAGCATCGATGTTAATATGATATTATATTATAGTTATAAACTACAGTATTAAGTAATATTCAGTGTTAACTATTACTCTTTCTTTTCAGAGCAGAGGGAAGCCCCGACAAATTTTAGGCAGGAGTATGACCAAATTTGCATTTTGTGGCCTTTTTCTGGCTGTGGTGTAGAAAACAGATTTGAGAGAGGAGGCTGGTGCATATGGCTCTGAGAAGACTAGAAGCAAGTGTGTTCATCTAACAGGTGGTCAGAACACAGTGAGTCACCCAGGGCCTGGGCCTCACTAGTGCCTAGAACCGTTCATGACTCAGGAGATACCTAACTTGGAGGGTCTCGAAGTTGTGTAAGATTGTGTAAATGTGTAGCTACTTTTTCAGAAGTTTTGAGCTATCCAATTTTAGATTTAGTAGGGAGCCTACTGCAGAATCCACTAGTCATTCTACTTTGGAAGGCATTCGGTACAGACTATTAAATAGCTTGTAGAATCGTTCGAGAAGGCAAAGCTTTCAGAAATATTCCCCAACGCCACATCACAGCATGGGCCTTCCCAAGAGTTGCTGCTTCGTCCTCAGCAAAAACCTGAGGAATGAGGAAGCTACCCTCTGTTGCCCCCATAGCTCTTTGATAATCTCTTGCCAATTTATCAACAAAACAGGATGTGCAAAACGAATGCACAGAAAGCTAGCAGCCAGCATTAAGACCTCTACCACCGCAACCACTAAGCACATGAAGGCCTCTAAGAACCCGGCCCAGGATGCTGTAGTCTGCCTTTGTTTGGCAGAACCTTAATCACATCAGAACCCTGGCTGCAGAGAGTTGAGCTCTTTAGCTCTGCAGTGCAGGAAAGCTCACCGGAAGGATGCTGGAACGAGCCCACCTGTAGGATGCACCATGCAACCTAAGTTCAGATGCTAGCTAGCCATTCAGCAGGGATTTACATTTCCCCCCCTTACCATACTAGCTGTGTACGTGTGGGCACTCCCTGAGCCTCAATAACTTCATTTATCAAAGTGGAGGTAATGATACTTATCTTCCAGGGTTCCTGGGGGAATTAAGTTAAATATGATAACCAGAAGAGCTGTAAGATGCCTGGCACATGGTAGACATTTAGTCAATGAGACATCAGTCAGTCACAGAACACCATTCCCCAACTCTATAGAAGAAACAGTATCCCCGTAAGGAGGAGATAAAGTAGAGCTTCCTGCTAGAGAGATTTCATGGCCTGGAGACAGGTGGCCCTGTACCAGGTGCACGGACTTTGGGAAGCAGATTTGCCCCCGGAAGAGTATGTGGGATTTGTGTGCGCATGCTAGTTCATTTAGTTGTTATTTCTTTCATTTTTAATTAGTTTTTTTAATTTAAAAAATAATACATACACATAAACAATGAAAAGAAAGGCTATCTTTGTAGTTCAAGTATTCTTCCTGAAATGTCTATGCATATAAGCATATATGTAATACGGATTCTTTCTTTGCTCACCTACAAAATGGGGTCATATTTTCTCCCTTCCTCCTTCTCTCTCTTTCTCTCTCCCCTTCCTTCCCCCCTCCCTCCCTTCCTCTCCTTTGAGATAATTTATTTTAGTTCATATAGAACCAAACGCCTACTGATTATAGCTAGTTGTTTGAATGATTCTGCTTTACAAAATTCCTCTAACACCTGTTCTTATACAGAAGTGACTGAATCTGTACAATAAATTTTTAGAAGTGGAAAAGCTGGGTCAAAGGTTAGGTCCAGTTTATAATTTTATTGATATTACCAAATGGCTTTCAAAGCAGTTGTCCCAGGGAATGCCCTTTACCAACGCTGTGTATGCCGCATTTTTGCATACATCCTCCCCAACAGTGTATCGTCAGACTTTCTGACTTTGGTCAGTGAAGATGAGGGAAGTTAAGAGGTGATACTAGGGTACACCAAGAGAAATTCTGATCAAGGGATGGAGGTAAGGGATTGCAGGATAGGAGGTGAGAGAAAGTAGGACCGAAATTTAAATTTAGAAGGGAAACCAGTAATCTGACACTCTGTGCCCGGCAAAGACTTGACCAGGCAATGCACCTGTTACTATGTTCAGTCCTTGTAACCACATTCACCCATATACATTTTTATCCCCCATTTGACTCTGACACCCAGTATCTGTGTCCTTATTTTACAGTTAAGGAACCAAGGCCCAAAATACTTAAGTGATGTATCCAACATCCCAAAGCATGCTAAGTCAGGGCAAGGGTTCTGTTTTCCACCTTCGTACGTGCTACATAAGTCCAGGATTTGAGTCTTTACCAAAGAGGCCACAGAGGATCAGAATTATATCTCCAGGGCATATTTCATCCACATTTGAGTTTAATGGCCCAGTTGAATTCAGTTATTTCCTATAATCGAAGAGGTTCCATTATAGTTGCGTGGACATGGTCTGAAACTCACGGACCTTTTTCACGCTGGTAATAGGTTCTGTATAAAGTTCTTCCCCAAAGATTTTATGTCCCTTTCCACAAAAACTACTGTGTTTACCCAAGGAGCACTCTTGACAAAAGCTACATGAGATGAAAGCTTTAAGCTCCTTGGGATTTTAAGATTTTCTTATAAAGGATTACGCAGCCTATTGTGAGTTCTACCCTTAGTCCTCTGGAATCTTAAAATTGTCCTGTAAATCCCTCCTTGAAGCCCTTTTGGACCCTGAGGCTAGCATCTGTGTCCTCTTCCTCATTGTTTGCTGCTGTCTCGGAGTTCCCGATCTTTTCTGTGTACATCTGGGCAATTTCCACTTGAGTTAAAAACGTGTGACTTCCGATTGTCAGATCTAATGATGATTAGAGACATTCATATAGAGTGTAAAGTCCCAGTGAGGGGGGGTCACTTTTCAGTGGCACAGTATTTGGGTTGATCATTGTCATTGGAGGTGTGGGATGATGATTGAGAATTGATGGAAAGAAGAGAACTAAAAAAATAAACCTTTTATCTGGAAAATGAAAATGGGCCAATGACTTTTTTTTTTTAAATTAAGAAAGCCAACTTTTGAATTGTCCCAATTGGAAAACATCCTGTTGATGGTCATTGTTTTAGGGCAGAGCCATGGTGTTCTGGAGAAATAGTCCATCTGATGTACTTGTGCAAAGCAAAAAAAAAAAAAGTCCGTGTCAAAGAAGGGAATTTGATGGAATTTGAGGGCTGCAATGATCTTAGAAGTTAACTAGCCCAACGCCTGGTTTTATAGGAATGGAAATGGAAACATGTGGGATTTAGCCCAGAAGCCACTTCTGAACAGTGTCAGTCGGAGCGAGAACCAGGCTCTTCTGTCTCCACTTGGTGTATTGTTCAATTTCCATGCATGTGACCCACATCTGATAATCTGCTGAGACAGTATGATTATCTGGGATTTTGTTTGTTTTCCGGAAGTGCCAGTGACTTATTTTCAAAGCTATCCTAAACAGACCTAACTGCTTTCAACGCAAGAGAGGGGTGCACAGATGAGAAGATGAGTCTGTTAAAAGAGGTGGCCGCGAAGACAGTGGATTGAACTCCTTTTACACAGGATGCTTAGTTGATAGGGAGGATATGTGATCTTCGCCTCGTTGCAGACACTGTTGTCCCACTTTTAGTTTGTGATAAATGCATAACTGCCATGTAGTTATATTGCCGACTTAAGTCAGGAAACTAAGTAGTGTTTTCTTTGTGAATGACCAACTGCTCAGGACTTGTTTCAAATTGATGATATAAATAATCTAACAAGGTCCTTCATTGTACATTTCTCAGAGCAAACAGAATGCAGTGTGTTTTTATAACCAGCTAGCTATTTGATTTTTTTTTTCTCTTTCCCACTTTTAGATATAAATGGATATAGAATTACTTAAAATGCTGCATATAAATTAAACATTAAAAGGGAGATATGGAGAGGCTAAGCTGCCCCATTATAATCTTCAGTTCCACAGTCACTGCCTCAAGGACCCTCCGTTTCATGTCACGTGTCCTTCTTTGGAAAAGTGATCACCAAGGTTCCAGTAACATTTAAGCGTAGAGGCAACTGCATAATTTATGGACCTTTTTTTTCGGTTTGGTTTGGTTTTGTGTTCTTATTTTAATGAAACAGGAAAACAGAAGGCTCCCTTTAAGTCCCACTAACTCCCCTTGTGCTTCCCTCCTGTCTTTGCAGATCGGGGCCCTGAAGGACTACTACCACTTCTACCATAGCAGGACGATTAAAAGGTCAGTTCTCTCGAGCAGAGGAACCCACAGTTTCATTTCAATGGAACCAAAGGTAAGAAGAACCAGTTGGGTGGGGACCAAGAGGCGAAAGCTTCTGCATTTTTCATTGGTAATAGCACACTAGGAACGGATGACCAGCGTGAAGGCTCACATTTCGGGAAGCCGTCCTATTATCCTTTGGTCCAGGGTCTTGGCTTCTGCTTTGGACAAAAATAGATGATCACTTGATTTTCACTGAACTACCATTATCATCCCACTGGTACGACAGTCCAGGGCTATCATAAGTATGGGTTCTCATGGAGGAGGAAGGAGTGTGTGCAAGGGGAGATACTGATTGATTCAGAAGTGTTGAAATGGTAAGAATACCACACCATCTTACTGATTTGCATGTAGATCTGAGGTTCTAGCCAAACTCCATAGGGGGATCCCTAACAAAATCCTTAGGTCAGGCATCAGGGCACCATGGATCCTTGCAATTTCATCTGACGTTGACAGAGCCGTGCCTTTGGCAGCCTGAGGACTAGATCATGTCTGGGACAGGAGGGATACTGAATACAGAAGGGATAGAAGCTGGCTCCTGGTTTTGAGGTAGGGCTCATCAGGTAATTTTCTTGCATGTTGTCTTTACTCCATGTCCTTTGGGGTTATATAGACAACATCCCCCTGGGAGTACCTAGAAGGAGATATGATACATCCACGTTCTCCCGCTCCATTCTGGAGAGGTGGGACAGCTTTGGCCTGGGAGATAGGAAGCTGAAGGGTGTTAGGGACAAACCAACCAGTAACTGGCAACTAACAGTCAGGGGGTGAGTTACACACACACATGTCCTTATTAAATTAGAGGGAGGCACGGACTCTGAGGGGGACCTCCTTGGCCCCCCATATGTGGCAAGTAAAACGGAGAAGACAGCTGTACCAGCCTGCCCCAGTTCCTTTGTGGACTCACTTTTGATTACTTATTGATTAGGAGGGTTTTTTTTCCACCCCCATTATGTTTTGGATTTGCCATATGAACTCATTTTCACATAAATTGGTGAACAAATCCCTACAAGTGAGCATGGCAATCTCACCTAGAGATCCCACGAAAATTGTATTCCTCATTAAAGCAAAAAGTCCTTATTTGCATTAATATGCAAATCAGGTTTGCAGTTTGGAATGCTGCCCTCTGTTATGTGCCACGGTTTGCCTTGTTTAATTTGTTTCTGGAATATTATCACACGGTTGTTCATGATTGTGAAATTGTTATCTTGGTCATTCAAGAAAGCACATTTCTTGTAGGTCCCAACTTCCTATAACCCAATTTTGGATTATAGGAACATCCCCTAAGACTTACACTCCGGTGGCCTGAGGATTGTATTTTTTTTCCCCTTCATCTCTATTCAGAATTGAATGTCTCTGGAAAAGCAATCTGTTGGGATGTTCTTGAATTAGCTAAATTTTTGAAGCAAAGTCACGTTTTTCATCTGCTAAACAACATTTTTTGAAGCTTTCTTGAACTTTGGTAATTAAAATGATTCCAATTTCATACCTCATGTGTGTAGTCAGTGTGAATTTGAGAAACCAAGTACTAGTTGGTTTGGGAGGTAAGAACAGAATGTAATGAGGCATTGTGTTCATAATGAAGTATTTACTGAATATGGAGTTGCTTCAGTCTTTAATGCCATCTTGGGGAATCTTGGTCTTCATGTCATCTTCTTTTTTTTTTTTTAGCTTTATTTATTTATTTGAGAAAGAGAGAGAGGGGGAGAGAGAGAGAGTAGGGGGAGGGACAGAGGCAGAGACCCTTCAAGCAGCCTCCCTGCTGAGCGTGGAGCTTGACGTGGGGCTCGATCCCACAACCCATGAGATCTCGACCTGAGCTGAAACCAAGAGTCGGACATTTAACTGACTGAGCCACTCAGGCACCCCTCCCTGGTCTTCATTCCTTTTCATCTTGGTGCATCAGATAGCTTATGCAGCATCCCACAGAGACCTTGGATGCTGGTGCACATCATACCTGGAATGTATGCCCTTCCTCACCCAGTCTAGAGAGTAGGGCCATTTCAGGACACTTCTAGGGCACATGCTCAGTTACCCTTCCTCCTCAATAAAAAGAATCCCCCTTGGGAGAGCCATATCTTACTTTTTATTTGGATGCCTCCTGCCCCTCATTCCCACCCAGCCATTTATACAAGAGGGTCATAATCCTACCGACTTTGCAGCTGGAACACCACGATGGGCGCTGCCCACAGTTTCTTTCAGATACTTCTTACAGTTCATTCATTCATTCATTGGCCATTTCTTGAGCCAGTAGTATATGGCAGGCCTTATGTTTGGCTCTGGGGATTTGGAGACATAGTGGTGCCCGAAAGGAGCTCACTGCAGGCTTCCACAGTGGCTGTCAGGGAAACCCAGAACAATCCAGTGCTTCTCAGGTGTTGGGGATGGGGGGAGCAAATGGGATGGACGTGCACTATATTCCTCCTCCTTCTCTAGTTCTGTCCTCGAAGAGCTCAGGCCCACTTGGGTCATTATTATTATTTTTTAATCTTGAAAACCTTTTTACTTGGGGAAGTCACAGAAATGTTGTGAGGAATCCCTATGTAAGCTTCCCACCTTCCCCAAATGTTAATGTTTATGTTTTACATTTTACCATACCTACTTGATCATATTCTCTCTCTCCTCTCTATACACAAGCACACCCACACACACATATATGTAAGTGTACAAATCCATATATATAAGTTTTTTTTTTGAAAATTTGGGAGCATATTACATACATGATGCTCCTATGACTTTATGGATTTCACTGTATATTTACTCAAACCAAGGACATTCTGTTATTATAACTGGAAGTACAGACAGTTAACATTCTGGTAAAAATCTGGATATTAACAATGATTTAATATTATTATCCAATCCACAGATTTCATTCAAGTTTTTCCACTTGTCTCTTTTCGGGGCCAAGAACACATCTAGCTGTCATTTGTCCCATGTCCCCTTTGTAGATTGTGTCATACTTCTTTCCCTTTTCTTCTTTTTTTTTCTTTCAACACTAGCACTTTTTTCTTTTTAAAAATTTATTTATTTTAGAGAGAGAAAGAATGTGCACATGTAAGTGGGGGGAGGGGCAGAGAAAGGGGGAGAATCCTCAAGTGGACTCCCCACTGAGCGTGGAGCCCAACACACGGCTCGATCCCAGGACCCAGAGATCATGACCTGAGCCAAAATCAAAAGTCAGATGCTTAACCAACTGAGCTACCCAGGCGCTCCGACAGCTAAAAGTCTTTTTGAAGGTTACAGGCCGGTTATTTTGTAGATTATCTAACATCATGATTAATTCAGGTTTAGCAAAAACACCAGAGGAGTGCTGGGTTCTTAGTGCCTCAGATCAGGAAGTGCGTGATGTTGACTTGGTTTGTTAGTCATGATTTTAACTTTGGTTCCTTGGTGGTGACACACGTAGCATCTGCCAATCTTCTCTATGTTAAAATGACTAGTTCCGGGCGCCTGGGTGGCTCAGTTGGTTAAGTGACTGCCTTCAGCTCAGGTCATGATCCCAGGGTCC